GACAAAAGACCTGTAATGTAGAAAACTGTAAGACACTGATGAAAGAAATTAAAGATGATACCAACAGATGGAGAGATATACCATGTTCTTGGATTGGAAGAATCAATATTGTGAAAATGACTATACTACCCAAAGCAATCTACAGATTCAATGCAACCCCTATCAAATTACCAATGGCATTTTTTTACAGAACTAGAACAAAAAATCTTAAAATTTGTATGGAGACACAAAAGACCCCGAATAGCCAAAGCAGTCTTGAGGGAAAAAAATGGAGCTGGAGGAATCAGACTCCCTGACTTCAGACTATACTACAAAGCTACAGTAATCAAGACAACAAAAACAGAAATATAGATCAATGGAACAGGACAGAAAGCCCAGAGATAAACCCACACACCTATGGTCAACTCATCTATGACAAAGGAGGCAAGGATATACAAGAGAAAAGACAGCTTCTTCAATAAATGGTGCTGGGAAAACTGGACAGCTACATGTAAAAGAATGAAATTAGAACACTCCCTAACACCATACACAAAAATAAACTCAAAATGGGTTAGAGACCTAAATGTAAGACCGGGCACTATAAAACTCTCAGAGGAAAACATAGGAAGAATGTTTGACATAAATCACAGCAAAATATTTTTTGATCCACCTCCTAGAGGAATGGAAATAAAAACAAAAATAAACAAATGGGACCTAATGAAACTTCAAAGCTTTTGCACAGCAAAGGAAACCATAAACAAGATGGAAAGACAACCCTCAGAATGGGAGAAAATATTTGCAAACGAATCAACAGACAAAGGATTAATCTCCAAAATATATAAACAGCTCATGCAGCTCAATATTAAAATAACAAACAACCTAATCGAAAAATGGGCAGAAGACCTAAATAGACATTTCTCCAATGAAGACATACAGGTGGCCAAGAAGCACATGAAAAGCTGTTCAACATCACTACTTATTAGAGAAATGCAAATCAAAACTACAGTGAGGTATCACCTCACATCAGTTAGAATGGGCATCATCAGAAAATCTACAAACAACAAATGCTGGAGAGGGTGTGGAGAAAAGGGAACCCTCTTGCACTGTTGGTGGGAATGTAAATTGATACAGCCACCCTGGAGAACAGTATGGAGGTTCCTTAAAGAACTAAAAATAGAATTACCATATGACCCAGCAATCCCACTACTGGGCATATATCCAGAGAAAACCATAATTCAAAAAGACACATGCAGGCTTCCCTGGTGGCGCAGTGGTTAAGAATCCTCCTGCCAATGCAGGGGACACGGGTTCGAGCCCTGGTCTGGGAAAATCCCACACGCCATGGAGCAACTAAGCCCGTGCACCACAACTACTGAACCTGAGCTCTAGAGCCCGTAGGCCACAACTAATGAGCCCATGTGCCACAACTACGGAAGCCTGCGCGCCTAGAGCCCATGCTCCGCAACAAGAGAAGCCACAACAATGAGAAGCCTGTGCACAGCAACTAAGAGTAGCCCCTGCTCACTGCAACTAAAGCCCACGCACATCAACGAAGACCCAACACAGCCAAAAATAAATTAATTAATTTATTTATTAAAAAAAGACACATGCACCTCAATGTTCATTGAAGCACTATTTACAATAGCCAGGTCATGGAAGCAACCTAAAAGCAACCTAAATACCCATCGACAGACAAATGGATAAAGAAGATGTGGTACATATATAGAATGGAATATTACTCAGCCATAAAAAGGAACGAAATTGGGTCATGTGTAGAGACGTGGATGCATCTAGAGACTGTCATACAGAGTGAAGTAAGTCAGAAAGAGAAAAACAAATATCGTATATTAACGCATATATGTGGAACCTAGAAAATGGTACAGATGAACCAGTTTGCAGAGCAGAAATTGAGACACAGATGTAGAGAACAAACGTATGGACGCCAAGAGGGGAAAGCGGCAGAGGGGTGGTGGTGGTGGTGTGATGAATTGGGCGATTGGGACTGACATGTATACACTGATCTGTATAAAATGGATAACTAATAAAAATTAATAAATACAAAATAAACATACACAGGTTATTTGTGAGTAAAAAAACAAACAAACAAAAAACCAATTATTGGGTCTCTTTGAACTCCAGAATTCAATGGACACCTCTTGCAGAAAAAAAAAGAAAACAGAAGGAAACCGGCGCCAGAACGAATAAGTTAGAGAGTAATCATATCTGAAAAAGGTATGTGATAAAATGCCAAAGCAATCTCGCCAGGGTTTCTTTGCTTTCACCTATAATCTCAGGAAACTTTAAAAAGCTAAATTTGGAGTACTTGTAGAACAGGATGAAAATGTAGTGACCAAGAGGGGGAAAACAGGGCTTCTCTGGTGGCGCAGTGGTTGAGAGTCCGCCTGCCGATGCAGGGGACATGGGTTCGTGCCCCGGTCCAGGAAGATCCCACATGCCGCGGAGCGGCTGGGCCCGTGAGCCATGGCCGCTGAGCCTGCGCGTCCGGAGCCTGTGCTCCGCAACGGGAGAGGCCACAACGGTGAGAGGCCCACGTACGGCAAAAAAAAAAAAAAAAACAACAAAACAAGAGGGGGAAAACATTTTTTAACTTTTTTCTTTAGATGTCAAGACAATACTGTTTTTTTTGTTTGTTTTTTTTGTTTTTTAAATATTTATTTATTTGGTTGCACTGGGTCTTAGTTGCGGCAGGTGGACTCCTTAGTTGCAGCTCGCCGGCTCCTTAGTTGAGGCACGTGGGCTCCCTAGCTGCGGCTCGCAGGATCCTTAGTTGTGGCATGTTAACTCTCAGCCGCAGCAGCATGTGGGATCTAGTTCCCTGACCAGGGATCGAACTTGGGCCCCCTGCACTGGGAGCGTGGAGCCCCATCCACTGCACCACCAGGGAAGTCCCAAGACAATACTGTTTTCCTCAATAGTTATATTGGCTTCACTGGCATACACAGTGTAAAAACAAGACCACAGGCCCAAAAGGGAGTCCCTTGTGCTAAACTCCACATTGCCAAACCGGGACCTCATTGTGGTTTCTGCCCTCCCAGAAATGGAATCTTAAACCCGTCAATCAGGAATCACCTGACCAGCACCGGTGAGGGAATCTGCCTGGTGGACATAGCCAACCCGCTTTTTTGCCTGGTTTAACTTCCTTGTCCCTGCTCCCTTCTGCCCATAAAGTTTCTCATTTTGTACAGCTCCTCAGGGCTCCTTTCTGTGCGCTAGATGGGATGCTGCCTCATTCAAATCAATCTTTGCTCAAATAAATTCACAGAATTGTTAATAGGCCTCCATTTATCTTTTAACAACAGATACCCGGATACTGTGATATAAGAAGAAATATGTATTTGGTCTTCTCCTCAGCACAGAGCTCATAAAACCCGTGGAATTTCCTGACTGATGGGCGATAGGAGAGTCTTGTTATTCATAAAATGCGCCCTTTGACCACACCTGAGTTTATGCTAATGAGGTGACTCCTGGAGGATGGGGGCTGGTTACCAGCGGCACCAACCATGGGATTCGAGGGTTGGAACTTTCAGGCCCACTCTCCAGAAGACTGAGTTAATCACCCAGTGGCCGATGAGTTCATCAATCATGCCTACATAGGGGAGCCTCCATAAAAACCCTAGATGAAGGAGTCTGGGGAGCTTCTGGGCTGTGGACGCACCTCTGTGCCTGCTGGGAGGGTGGCACATCCCAACGTCACGGGGACATAAGTTCCTACGCTTGGACATTTCCAGCCCTCACCCTATATACCCCTTCATGTGGCTGTTCATTTGTATTCTTTATGACATCCTTTATAATAAACTAGTTAAACAGTAAAAAATTCTCCTGAGTATTCTGAGCTCTCCTAGCAAATTACTGAAAGGAGGACGGGGTTGTAGGAACCCCTGGTTTGTAGCCAAGTCAGGCAGAAGTGTAGGTAACCCACTACTTGTGACCACTGTCTGAGATGGGGGCAGTCTTGTGGGACTGAGCCCTTAACCTGTGATGTCTGTGCTAACTCTGGGTAGTTAGGGTCGGAACTGTTTAATACGAGGAAAAAACACCCCGACGTTTCATGTCAGAAGCGTTGGGAGTAGAGAGACAGTTCTCCAGGTACCTAGGTTTCCAGATACCTAGGCTACTTACAGACAGAAGAATATCCTTCACTGAAGGTCTTTGCAGCCTGGTTACCTACTTTTATCTGCAACGTGTTTTGTGCTCCACAACTTTCATGTTTTTTTCTTCCCCTATACTTTCAAACCAATAGTTAAGCCAGAATAGTAATCAACTTGTGTAGAGGAAAATACATTTACAAATAGGCAATAAGATGGCTTTGATACAGAAACCTCATAAAAAATGTATTTATCAGACTAAAGAATAATAATCTGGTATAAAATCTCAATGATCCACACTGCCTTTGAGTACTGACTAATTCAGTGAATTCCCTATATGCTTCATAGGCAACCTCCTGCCAGGTGAGTAAACTACTTGCTAGGTACTTGTAATTCTTGAGAAAAATGATCATTTTGAGCCCGCTGGTTCCATCAGTTCATGCAACTGTGTGTCATACACCCTACTGGCCCCTAAGGGTTTCTGCACCACCCAAAGCAATTCTCACACAGTTGTTAAACATTCTCATGATTTCATCAAATTCATTCAGAAAATATCTCCCATTCCCATGCCAGAGAGATGAAAGATTATATTACAGTATACAGTTACATCTTACAGTATATCCTTTCATACCAAACAAATGTATTTTTCATTTTTAAAACAAAAGCATTTGATTTTATTTCTGTGTTACTCATATTTTGGCATTTACATAAAAGAAGTCAAGTGACAGTGACCCCTGAGGACATCTGTATCATATTTGCAGTGATTATGAACCGTGCCACTGACACTTTACTCTGCATGTCATTCGCTGAGACAAGGCAGCAGTTTCCCTGTGTTGTTCTCCGGGCTTGGCATCTCTGATGGCAGATAAACCCGAGAATCTGCTGACGCAGCTGCCTGAGAAAAACCCCACTCACCTCACGTCCACCTCACCTCCAACGTGCATGAGAAAAGAGCCATCGGGTTGCTTCAGCGAGTACAAATACTGGAGAAGCTTCTCTCTGAGAAATGAACGGGAGAGAGGCAGGAGATGGCGATGGTCAGTGCACTGTCAGCAGGCGGGAGCCCAGCTGGGTGTCCAGTCCTGCTGGCTTTGACTGTACCTGTTAATGACATCATAGGCCTCTTCGGTGCCAATGATGCACAGCGCGTTGACTGCTGCGTACGTGGGCGCAAGGTGTGGGTACTGGCCAGGGCCCCCTCCAAAGCCACCTTCTGGGCTTTGACACAGCTCCAGGAACTGACACACGCTAGGTACACAGCCAAAGGGAAAGACAAGGTCAGACAGCATTCATTTCAAAACACCAAATTCCACCAGTCCATGCCTTTCCAAGCCTCCGCCTTCCTCAAAAGGGAAGAAACCTCCCCTCCCCACCTAGTGAATATATACTGGATACAGTCAACACCTGTAAAGGGCCTAATTCTCTAATGATAGCCTGATTCTCTGCTATCATCAGCTTTGTGTGCCCTCCTTTCTGAGTTTTGTATTTAAGCATTCGCCTAGTCGTGAAGCAAGGAACATAAGGCCGGGCAGTTCTTAGAACTGGGAGTAAGTCTCATGCTTCTTGACCCAATCTTTCCCATACTTTTCTCTCAATTTGCCACCCTGGATCTATGGAACCAGCCCGTTCTCCTTGTCTGTAGAGTACCTCCCAGGTTTTGGATTTTGCCTAAATCATGGTGATACTCAACTGCTGGTCTAGAGCCATCACCTAGGCCTACCAGGAATATTTAAAGAGATGCCTTCTCACCCCCATTGCCGTGTAAGCCCCAGTGCGCTACTGATTTTTACTCCGCTCACCGACAAGAAACAAGCTTCCAATGGAGTCTGCCTCCATGGTTAGAATAAGAAAGAGGTGAGCTTCTGCTTGCTCAGCTCACTGTGGCAAACTTAAGCACTGCTGACTCCTATCACAGGAATGCATCCCAGGCCGTAGGCTTTTGGAGAGTTTCTCACAGAGGCTTCAGTTCCTTCACTGAGAGAAACTGTTTATTGAGGGCTGGCCTCCAAGCCCTTGCTTCCAAGCATGGCATCAGTCTGCCCAGAAGTTATCTTCTTGCTTTAAGTGAAACCAAGAGAGCCCCTCTGTGTCTAAGGCCCTCTAAAGTTCATCGGAAAGGGGTGCCCCCGGAGAGTCCTGGTTCTCGAGCTGTTTCCGCACAACGTAGCAGGATCACAGCTTCCTACTAGGACAAGTCCTCAGTTAAGAGAACCAGCTGCAAATCTGTGTCCTTCTAGTGCTCAGACAGCCTTCTTTTCCTGGGCTCTTTTGTCTCATTTTTTCTTATCTACTGCTGCCAGAGAGGTCGCACAGAGTCTACTTAAATCTCCACTAAGACACAAGCTGATTGCGCCTTTCCCACGTCATATTTGATGACTTTTGATTTCAGACGTGCCATTATCTGGGCAGGGACAGCCATAGAAAAGCTGCCGACTTCCTAGGAAAGCCCTGAAGTCATCACAGGTTAAAAGCAATCCACACTCACTTCACGTTCCACCCACAATTTTACGGTAGGAAACACAAGGATTGAAACTGAAGTTGATAATCAGAGAAGGAAGACAGTTCTGTGACATGTTTTTAATAGCAATTAATTTTTGCAGAGAAAAATGAGTTTTTTACTAACATGTTTCCCAAACCCTCATCAATTCTTATCCTATTTCCCAGAAACAAATAGCTAATAAACTCCTGGTCTAACAAAAGTTGGCTGCATTAGCATACAAAAAGTTTCCTGATCACAAAAATAAAGTTTTTTGGCTGACATAAAACTTAACAGCACATTTTTAAAAAGAAAAAGGAAAAGAGTCATCTAGTTATCCATTCCCTTCCCCAGCTCCCATGACAGACTTACGGCAAATGCAATACTCCTGACCCTGTAGCCTAAAGTCTGGTATGGGCCGGGATCTGAATGTACCAGAGACACCATTAAATCACCCCTCCACACCAACTGCCCCCAGCTGACAGGCTGCATCTGACTGACTGAGGGCTATGTGGGGAACAGGGGTTGGGCTCTTCTTGAGTCTGAGACGCTTCCGTACTATAGAACATTCTGATCCAGAGTCTTTCCAACTTGTACCTTAAGGAACGGGCAAACTGACAGTGAAGCTACCAGCTGTCGTGAGCAGAACTCCTAGCAATTCTGAAAAGCAAAATGTGAATGATACTTCTAACGGTCCAAAGGGGAAGAAAAACTTGTCTTAGAGACCAGAAATTCACCAACTAATTTTAAAAATCACACGCGGGAAACACTGAGCAAACACCAAGAGTGGCACACTTTGTGAAAAACAAGTATTCATAAATCACTCATTTAGTCATATGACTGAAAGATCTAGTAGATCAATTTTCTTTCAAGTCAGCAAGGCATTTCATTCTCGCTTAAATGACGACTTCCAACAAAGTGGGAAACTATCTTCCAGATCAGGACTTTAAAAACCCCAAATGTGGAGATCAGAATCACTGGAGGGCTAATAAAGAACACAGACCCAGACCTGCTGAAGCAGGAAAGAGCTGGGCCTCTGTATTTTTACCAAATTCCCAGGTGATGTGGATACACACGAAGTTTGAATACCACAAGTCTTTGCTGTATAATTAGAATCACTTTGCGGATGTTTTAAAAAAAAACAAACCCAAGCCCAGGCCACACCTAATACCAATTAAATCAGAGTTGCTGAGGGTGGGCCAAAGTGGCAATAGTTTTAAAAATTCCCCATGTGACTCCAATGTACAGCCAAGTATCAGTGCTTCTCAAACTCGAGTGTGCCATGGAAGTCACCTGAGGATCTTGTCAAACTGCAGATCTAATTCCGTAGAACCAAAGGGACCCGAGATTCTGCATTTCTAGCAAGCTCCCAGGTGATGGCAATGCTGCTGGTCTGAGGACCACATTTTGGGTAGCAATGTGATACATCTGCACTGTCCAATAGGTAGCCACTAGCCACATGAGGCTTTTTTAAATTTCAATTTAAATTAAGTAAATTTAAAATTAAGCTCCTCAGTCACACAAGCCACATTGCAACTGTACGATAGCTACATGTGGCTAGTGGCTGCAATAAACCATAGAATATTTCCATGACCTTGTTAAGTTCTATTGGACACTACTGCTTTATCATCCAGCTATTAAAAAGTATGTAAAACTGTAAGAGGATTAAGTTCAAAGCAAGATTATCGATGATTTACTTGGACTTTTAGGGGATGTAGGGGATGGCTGAGGACTGCCTTAAAGTGGTTGATTCTGGACATCACTGTGACCCGTGTGGATGGAGGACTCAAAAGCATGCATAGTATATAAGCAAATAATACATAACGAGCAGGGAAACCCTCCAAGGAGTGAAAGTCCAGAATAATATAAAACAAATCAGAAGCCAATAAGAATAAAACAAGTGAAACAGGTGTAAGTAGCAAGTAATATGCTTAGAGATGGCAGGAGTAGGGGATAAAGAATATAAAGCATATAAATATAAGAAATAACTAGGAACACAGCAGAAAAAGGACCAGAGGTTAGGGTCCGTGACTTGTAAACAATACAGAAAATGCTTTTTCAAAGCATCATAAACACAAAACTATATCTGGCTCAAGCCTCCATTTTCCAACTCAAAGGAATTTCAGAATAGACTTGTAAAAATGGCTAAGTATAAAAGTGATTAAAAGGCTTACCATTAGAGAAAACCACAGTGTGGAAGCTACTCAGCAAAATACCTCAAGAATACAAAGGGTAATTATGCAAACTTTCTAGTAAAGAAACAAAAATTGGGGCTTCCCTGGTGGCACAGTGGTTGAGAATCTGCCTGCCGATGCAGGGGACACGGGTTCGTGCCCCGGTCTGGGAAGATCCCACATGCCGCGGAGCGGCTGGGCCCGTGAGCCATGGCCTCTGAGCCTGTGCGTCCGGAGCCTGTGCTCTGCAATGGGAGAGGCCACAGCAGTGAGAGGCCCGCGTACCGCAAAAAAAAAAAAAGAAACAAAAATTGAAGCTAATCCGCAGCAAGAAGAATTTAGGTTAGATTTAAGAAAAACTTCAGCACCAGACAGGTTACCACAGATAGACTTAAGGCCTAGAATAAGTTAGAAAGATGATAGCTTTGGAAATAGGCACAGTCACCCTTGAACAGATAACTTAGGAGCAGATGCAAAGGCAGGATGGATGACTTGACATCAGGCTAAGACATCTATGCTAAGTCTTCCGATTTTCATACTGTAAGACAGCTTCAGCTGATAGAAGGGAGAGGAAAACTCCTTCCCTGGTAGAGGAGAGCACTGAGCAGGGGAAAGACAGGCAGGCTCTCCTGTCGATTCCAGGAGGCCAGTGTCGCCCTGGGGAGGACGACAGGTTCTCTGATTTCATCAAGAGGCGATGCCTGGTGTGCTGCTGTTGTGGAAGTGTGGTCAAGTCTAAAGTTGGTTATTTTAGAGCAGGGGTTCTCCACCGTGGCACTACTGACATTCTGGACTGGATAATTCTTGGTTGTGGGGACTGTCCTGTGGAGGATGTTTAGCAGCTTCCCCAACCTCCACCTACTAGATGCCAGCAGCACCTGGCCAAAAAATGCCCAGAAGACAAATCACCACGTAAAGGATCTTCATTGAAAGATAAGGAAACCAATTAAATTTAAAAGGAAAGATATTTCAGGAGCTATCCAGGGGACAAGCAACTAATAACCTTTCAAAAGGGAAATAATAAAACACTGACACATGAAAATTTTAATTTAATCTTTAGAAAAACTTTACAAGTGGAAAAGTCCTAAAACAATTTTTAAGTTAAAGATACTTTTCAGATCTTACAAAAGCTAAAACACCTAACAGTACAGTAGTTTCCCTGCGGTTTTCATTTTACTCTGTGTGTTTCATTAACGTAGCATTCAATAACAACGCATGGGATTCTCATTAAAAGATGCTTCCTTTAGTTCCAAAATCATTAACAAAGCAAATGCACTTAGTATGGTTCCAAAATATTAATTTATTTTAGGTAAACACATGCATAAATTTGTGGATACAATCTCTTAAGAGAGTCACACTGAATTCCTACCTATGAATATATTATTCTTGAAAGGTCTGATACCAGCAGTAAAAGCCTGGCCTTGCTGGCTTTGGTCAGCAGTCACAGTAGCTGACAAAAGTGGTTTTGTCCACTAGAGGGAACTCAGCTTGTCATATTGTTCCCAGAACAAACAGAAGTACAACAGTGAACAAAATAGGAAAGAGAGAGAAACTTGCGTACGTGTGTGTGTGTGTGTGAGTGAGTGTGCTGCACACTA